GGGAAGCCGCGTCCCCGCGTGGCCCAGCCGGACCCTCCCCCCCCTTCCCCACCCGCGTCCCGAGCCCCGCGCCCTGCTCCCCTCTCGGCCCGCGCACCTGCCCGGGGTCCCGGGAGCAGGGTCGGGGTCTCACCGCGCGCCGCCCACAGGCTCTCACTCCATGCGGTATTTCTACACCATCGTGTCCCGGCCCGGCCTCGGGGAGCCCCGGTTCATCGCCGTCGGCTACGTGGACAACACGCAGTTCGTGCGCTACGACAGCGACGCGGAGACTCCGAAGGCCGAGCCGCGAGCGCCCTGGGTGGAGCAGGAGGGGCCGGAGTATTGGGAGGAGGAGACACGGACCGCCAAGAACCACGAGCAGATTTTCCGAGTTGACCTGAGGACCCTGCTCGGCTACTACAACCAGAGCGAGGGCAGTGAGTGACCGCGGTCGGAGGTCACGACCCCTCAACGTCCCCACGCACGGGCCGCGGTCGCCCCGGGTCCCAGGTCCGATGTTTGGGAGCAGAGCAGGGACCGAACCCGGTTTCCCTTTCGGTTTAGAGTCCGCAGGCGGGCGGGGCCACGGGCGTGGGTGACGGGGACAAGGCCTTGGGTGCACGGGTATTGGGCGCGGGGCAGGTGGGCAGACACCAGAATAGGGCGGTTGGGCGTGGCTGACCTCTGGTGGGCGGGGCCTCGAGTGACCCCGGGGGTCCGAACAGGTGGGCGGGGCTGACCGCGGGGTTCCCTCAGGCTCTCACACCATCCAGTGGCTGTACGGCTGTGAGGTGGGGTCGGACGGGCGATTCCTCCGCGGGTATGAACAGTTCGCCTACGACGGCCGCGATTACCTGACCCTCAACGACGACCTGAAGACCTGGACGGCGGCGGACACGGCGGCGCAGATCACCCGTGGCAAGTGGGAGCAGAATGGTGCTGCAGAGAGACAGAAGGCCTACCTGGAGGGCGCGTGCGTGCAGTACCTGCGCAGATACCTGGAGAACGGGAAGGATGCTCTGCTGCGCACAGGTGCAGGGGCCGCGCCCTCCCTCCGCCCTCGGGCTGGGCTCAGTCCTGAGAAACAGGAAACCCTCACTGGGGCCATGCCCCTGTCTCTGAGAGCAGACAGGGTCCCTGGGTCTCCTGATCCACCATGACAGGGACCGCACTGACCTCCCAGGGCTCAGCCTTCTCCCTGGACAGTTCCACATCTGTCTCAGGAGGGAGGAGAGAGGATCCCGACATCACCAACAGTGGCTCCTTCAGTCTGCAGCCCCTGTCAGCCATGGCCTCTCCCAGGCGGGGTTCTCTGCCCACACCCAGTGTCTGTGGACTCTGACTCCTGGCATCTGAGTGTGTCAGCCTTACACACCAGGACCAAAGTCTCCTTTACCTGATGGGAGACATGGGCTCCCCTACCTGAGGCTGCTTCCCCAGTTTGTAGAACTTTCCAAAGAATACATTATCCCAGATTCCTGTGTGTAAGGTTTCAATTCCTCTTACACCCAAATTGTATCGCTTCCTGGAATGGTCACATGGGAACTTATGAGGTGCCCTAGACAAATACTAAATTGTGGAGAGTTTTTTTTCTCCTTCCTTCCTTCCTTCCTTCCTTCCTTCCTTCCTTCCTTCCTTCCTTCCTTCTTCTCCTCCTCCTCCTCCTCCTCCTCCTCCTCCTCCTCCTCCTCCTCCTCTTCTTCTTCTTCTTCTTCTTCTATTATTATTATTTTCAAAGTTGTCATTTTCCTTAGTGAGTTTTTCTTCCTCACTTGGATGGTAGTCCTTCTCTCCCACAGGTGCCATGTGAGACTGATAATCTGGATAATTAGACTAGTTAAATCAGTGGGATTTTTTGAGGTTGCTGTAGTTTAGTTTTTTGTTGTTTGTTGTTGTTTATTTTTATTTTTTTTGGTTTGTCGACACAGGGCTTCTCCATAGCTTTGGAGCAAGTCAGAGTTCCCTTTAAATGAGAAAGATTCCTGTGAGTTTAAGATTGTTTTCTGCCAGAATTAGCCATCAGGAGCCCTCCTGCCCTCCCTTAGCCCCAACAAGTTACAGTGTTGCCCTAGTGAATTAGGAATTGAACTTCCTCAGAGACGGGGTCTTCTGCAACTCCAGGACTGGAGGGACAGGGAAGATCCACACACCCTGTGAGCACTGCTGTGTCCCATGAGTGCTGCACTGGGCTCCACAGCACACTTCAGGGATCCTGAGTGACAATACCTGGTATCTTGTTCCCCCAGAGGCAGGGATTGGAGAATCAGTTTCTCTGGCTGAGTGTCAGAGGCTCACCACATTTCTGCTGCTCACTGTGGTGATGGCTGTTCACCTGGATGGACAGTTAATGCTGGACAGAAAGATGGCCACAGTGCTTGGGCCTTGATGGTGTCAGCAGAAGTTTCTGGTGCCTTTCATGTAGACCGTTCCTCTTAATTTCTTACTTTTATGTGAATTTAATCACATATAAATTAATTACTTTCCATCCCTTCATCCTTTTACTACCTACTTGATGCTATAGAACATCATAAGAAGACGATGTTGACCTGCTGGCTCATGTGGATTCCCTCCTAGTTTCTGGGTCACCAGGAAACTGTGCAGTTCTGTGATGAGGGGACCAGCTCTACCTGCAGGTCACTAGTGTGATGACAGAAGTGTTCAAACAGACACATAGTTCAGTGTCATCATTGATTTAACTTTGTCTTTGCAGATTTCAGTTTATCTTCTTAATTGTGGGTTTTCTTAAACCTTCCACACAGATCCCCCAAAGGCACATGTGACCCATCATCCTGGGTCTAAAGGTGATGTCACCCTGAGGTGCTGGGCCCTGGGCTTCTACCCTGATGATATCACCATGAATTGGCAGAGGGAGGAAGAGGAACAGACTCAGGACATGGAGCTGGTGGAGACCAGACCTTCTGGGGACGGAACCTTCCAGAAGTGGGCATCTCTGGTGGTGCCTTCTGGAGAAGAGCAGAGATACACATGCCATGTGTACCATGAGGGGCTGCCAGAGCCCCTCACCCTGAGATGGGGTAAGGAGGGAGTGGGTGCAGAGCTGGGGTCAGGGAAAGCTGGAGCCTTCTATAGACCCTGAGCAGGGTCAGGGCTGAGAGCTGGGGTCATGACCCTCACCTTCCCTTCCTGTCCTTCCCTTTCCAGAGCCTCCTCAGTCCACAGTCCCCATCATGGCAGTGATTGCTGGTCTGGTTCTCCTTGGAGCTGTGATCATTGGAGCTGTGGTGGCTGTGGTGATGAAGAGGAGGAGAAACCCAGGTAGGAAAGGGCAGGGACTGAGTTCTCTTCAGCCCCTTTTAGAAGAATCTCTGCCTCATTAATGGGAATTAATCCCACATCCACACCCCTCATTGCTCCTGTCTCTACCCTGGGTCTGCTGTCGGTTCTGGAAACTTCCAAGGGTCGGGGTCTTCCCTGGTCTCTCACAGCTTTTCTTCTCACAGGTGGAAAACGAGGGGACTATGCTCCAGCTTCAGGTAAGAGTAAGGAGCCAGATAATCCCTGATGCCTTTGGGGTGAATGTGGATTGTTTGGGGAAGTATGACAATCCATATTAGCTCCTTCAGCAAAATATTCTGGGGTTCCTTTTTTTACCTTTCCACATATATATCAATATTTTTTTACCCCAGGCAGCGACAGTTCCCAGAGCTCGGATGTGTCTCTCCCAGACTGTAAAGGTGACCCTCTGGCGACAGGCTTGGGGAGGGGAAGAGTGGACATGATTGGGTTTCAGGGACCCCCAGATTCATCTTTGAGTGAGTGGTGGGTTGGTGGGATGTTGTCTTCACAGTGATTGTTCATGACTCTTGTTCTGTAGCGTGAAGACAGCTGCCTGGTGTGGATGGAGTGACAGACGATGTGTTCAGGTCTCTCCTGTGACATCCAGAGCCTCTCAGTTCACTCTCAGCAATAGTGTCTGATGTTCCCTGTGATCCCATGGGCTCAATGTGAAGAACTGGGGAGCCCAGCCCACCCCGCATACCAGGACGCTGTCCCTGCACTGCCCTGTTCCCTTCCACAGCCAACCTTCCTGTTCCTGCAGACAGGAGGGGACATCTCCATCCTGTCTCCTCCATGCTGTCCTGAGCTTCAGCCCTGACTTCCCCTCTGAAAATAAGAATCTGAATGTGAACTTGATTGTTCATGTCCTTGATCTCAAAGTTTGATTGGCGGTAAATAAAGGATTGAGATAGAGTTTATGGAGGAAATAAATGGCAGCGTGGAGAACCTCCCAGAATCTGTGTTAACTGTGTTGTGTGTATCTGGTGGGACAGGATGAGGCTGTGGGAGCTGAGTGAGAACAGGGCTGTGCCCAGGTGGAGCTCAGTCCGTTGTTGAGATTGACAAGGTCTCTCTTCCACTCTGGCCCCTCCTGGCTCAGTTCTCTTGGTTACTTAGAACCT